TTCTCGCCGTCGTCGTAGTCGATGTCGTACGTCCCGTTAAGCCTGGCGCGCGAGATGACACCGGGGTAGAACTTGGACTTGCCCTTGTACTGGGCCTCGACCTTGTCGCCTTCCTTGTACTTCTTTGGCTTGTCATCTTCTGTCGACTCTTCAACCTTCTTCTTCTTCGGAGATGAACCACCCTTGGCTCTGATAAGCTCAGCGGCGACACCCGTCTCCTTTTCGCCGTCATCGTAGTCGATGTCGTAGGTTCCGTTCAGCCGCGCACGAGAGATGACACCGGGGTAGAACTTGGACTTGCCCTTGTACTGCGCTTCGATCGTGTCGCCTTCGTTGAACTTCTTCGGCTTGTCGTCGTCTGTCGACTCTTCCGCCTTCTTTTTTTTGGGCGACGAGGCGCCCTTGGCTCGAATGAGCTCGGCAGCGACTGCAGTTTCCTTCTCTCCGTCGTCGTAGTCGATATCGTAGGTACCATTGAGCCGGGCGCGAGCAATGACGCCGGGGTAGAACTTGTCTTTGCCCTTGTACTGCGCCTCAATCTTGTCGCCTTGTTTAAACTTGCCACGTTTCGGTTTGTCATCTTCTGTTGTTGTCATCTCCTCGACCGGCTTCTTCTTGGGCGACGTTCCCCCCTTGAGGCGGATCAGGTCCGTCTTGACCATCGTCTCCTTCTCGCCGTCGTCGTAGTCGATGTCGTACGTCCCATTCACACGAGCACGGGAGATGACACCGGGGTAGAACTTGTCCTTGCCCTTGTACTGCGCCTCAATCTTGTCGCCTTCTTTGTACTTGCCACGCTTCGGCTTGTCGTCCTCCGTCGTCGACGGCTCTTCCACAGTTTTTTTCTTCTTGGGCGAGCTCGAGCCTTCTTTGAGGCGAACAAGGTCGGCTTTGACCATCGTCTCCTTCTCGCCGTCGTCGTAGTCGATGTCGTAGGTGCCATTGAGCCGGGCGCGAGCAATGACGCCGGGGTAGAACTTGTCTTTGCCCTTGTACTGCGCCTCAATCTTGTCGCTTTGTTTGAACTTGCCACGCTTGGGCTTGTCATCTTCTGTTGTTGTCGTCTCGACCGGCTTCTTCTTCTTTGGCGAGCTCGAGGCCGCGCGCATCCAGTCACCCTTGACGCCCGTTTCCTTCTCCCCTTCATCGTAGTCGATATCGTACGTCCCATTGACCCGGCGCCGCGTCACGACACCGCCCTTCCATGTCTTACCGCCGTACTTGGCTTCGACGCGCTGGCCTTTCTCGTAGACGACCTTGACGTCGCTCTCAGACGAGTCGGTGACAACCTGCGGCTTCTTCTTCGGACTGGGCGGGCGAATCGCGCTCGCTTTGACTCGCGTTTCCATCTTGCCGGTCTCGTACTCGACGTCACAAGAGCCGTCCGAGTGCACCTTAGCGATGACGGCGCCGACCCAGTCACCTTGCTCCTTGTAGTTGGCCCGGACGCGCTGCCCCGGTTTGTACGCTGGTCCAGCATCCGACTCGGATGTGAATATGGGCTCAGGGCGCTTTGCTGGCCTCTTGGGGCGGTCGTCCGAGTCGGAGACGACGACAGGGCGTGTCTTCTTGGGCGAATGCGGCCGGACGTCCTCGGACTCGGACGTCATTTCCATTCGCTTGGGCTTGCGCGGCGACGACGTCTTGCCTTCGTCGGCCGACGGGTGGTGCGATTTGCGCGGGCTGCCTGCCATCTTGGCGCGAGTGACTTCGCGAATCGAGTCTTCGGGTACGTAGCGCTCGAGCTTGCCCGTGTCAAACTTGACGTCGTACGTGCGGTCGTCCTTGTGAACCTTGACGATCGATCCGAGAACGTACTCGTGCTTGTGAAGGGGTATGGCCTGGATGACCTCGCCCTTGGTGAAGCGGACCGAGTCATCTTCGTGGCGCTGGCGACGGTGCTGCTTGCCCTTGCGCCGCCGCCGCCGCGAGTCGCCCCCCGACGATGACGACGACGACGATGACGACGACGATGACGACGAGCTGCTCGAGTAGTACTTTTTCTTGCGAGCCTTCTTGGGTTTGGCCTGCAGCCCGTGGTGGCAGAGCTCGCACGAGACCGCATCAAAGTTGTTGTCAAACTTGCAGTGGGGACACTTGACAAATATACCACGCGCGCCGCCGTGGGGCTTGGACGTGTCGCAGATCTCGCAGTGCGTGACCCAGTCTTCCACTTGTTGGTGGGCGCACACGCGACAAATCCACCCGTTCTTTTGCAGCACCATCTACGAGGAACATACCATTGGACTCTGCTTCGATCCTCGAGGATCGCGTTCGTTTATACCTTGGCGGCGGGCACTGCGTGGTTGACCATCGTCGTATACCCCGTGTGGTGCGGTGGCGGCTGGTAGCCATGCGGTGTCGGGTGTCCATGAGCCCCATGGTGTCCGTGATGGGCCGTCATGGGCGAGACGGGCACGGGCGACGCATACGCCACGGGCGCACTCATCGGCCGGGGCGAGAGATGCGGGTGCGATGCTTTGTGGTTGCCAGGAAAGAGCTCGAGCATCCGCGCGTACGAGACGAGCTGCGTGTCGTACGGGTGGGCGAAGAAGTGCGCCAGCCAGTGCAGGTCCACGTCGGGCGCCGACGCATACCGATGGCAAAAATCCAAGAAGATGTGCCGGGGAACGCAGCCCGTGCTGTGGTGGTCGTACTGCTGGAGCATGTGGCGCATGCTCTCGATCGAGCCTTGCGCCGCGATCCGCCGGCCAATGTCCTGCAAAATCCGGTCGCTACACGCATAGATTTAGTTCCAGTTTGCACTTTCACTCGCGTACACTTCGGCACGGTCCAGCGACAAGTACGTCGCGAGGGCGTGGTAGTCGATGGCGTCAACGGGCGGCGCGTAAAAGCGCCGTTGGATCTCGGCCATCAGCAGCGGTGAGAGGTAGATGCCCACTTGCGCGAGCGCATCTTGAAACGTGTGGGTAGGTAGCCCGCCGCTACGATGGACGTCGTACGCCTGCAGCACCTGGCGGATATCGATCGCGAGCGCCATGAACGCGTGTCGAAGCTGCGTCCGCAACGACGACGCGTCGGCGTATGCGTAGTCGATTTGGTGCATGTCAAAGCCTTGGCTCGCCGCCTGTCGCGCCTGGGACGGGATCGGGCTAATCATGACAGGGTGCACGGGCGACGCGACCGGTGGGCGGTACCCGTGCACCGGCAGCGGCGAGTGGACGAGCGTGGCCGTCGGATGTGCTTCGACCGAGTGCGTAATGCCGCGCCAGTACTCAGGGTCGAGCGGACTCGGCTTGGCCTTGGCGCCCCCGAGCAGCATCGTTTCGGTTGTGAAACCGGCCACCCAAGAACTTAGTGCTAAATAGGACTTGACCTGAAAACAAGTGAATTTCGCGTGTGATTTGACAACAAGTCGGGTATAATCGTCTATATTGGGTGTCGTATTGTACATGGCACTATCTATCTATCGCTCACTCATCGCGGGCGCTCGACGCCGACTCGACAAGCGCCGAAGCCAAGAGCGGCCGGCTCCACGCCGTTGCAAATGCTAGCGCTGCTTCGATGCCCGAGGAGCTAGCGACCGCACCGAGGAGCCCTTCGTACGCATATCCGAGTGCCGTTGCACTCGGAGCTGGCGGTGGCACGATGTTATTTTCTACGAGGTACGCCCCGAGCGAGGTCCGAGTGACGAAATGACGGCGCCGTGTCATCTCGCCCGGATCCGCCCCCGTTGCATAGAGGTCGATCGCGGTTGCCGCGTACTGAAGCGATTCACCAAGGAGCCTGGGGCCGTCAGTAGACGCCTCGGCGCTTAGACTGGCGCTCACACAGGCAGCAGCAGCGGTCGCAATTGCTGGCTGGTTGATGGGAGAACCAAAGGCCCCGAGTTGCCAGTTGCACGAGGCGTTCGCGGGTACTGCCCATTCCTTGCGCGGCAAATCCACGCTGGGACTCGAGACAAGCTTGAGATGACACGCCATGGTCATCGCGCCTGGCATGCCCGCAGCGTCATACGCCGCGCCCAAGAGGGCTTCGACGACCGTCGCGTACGTCTTGATGCGCGTACTCGGAGTCAGCGTCTCTTGAGGGAGCGACCAGGTATCGCCCCGAAGCGGCTGGAGCCACGAGCCGTGAAAGCCGACGACATCCACGCACGAAAGAAGGTCGGCCGTCTCGGCCACCGTGCACAGCGTTGCGTTTTGAAGGTTTCGCAGTCGCTGGACCTTCAGGGCGTCCGTGAGCCGCCACTGCCCACTTTGGATCACGCCGATGGTCAGCACAAGCTTGAGCACGCCATCGCCAAGAAATGCCAATCGTTCATTGCTGTAGCTCAGCTTGGCGCTGGACGCCGTGAGGGCTTCGGTGAGAGGGTGCGGCCACTGCCACCGCGATCGCAGCTCCGCTTCGGCGCGATCTTTTTGCCAGAGATACAAAATGGTGGGAAGCCGCTTGAGGTCGTGCCAGAGCGCGCACGGCAGTGGGTGCACTGCGCACAGCTGTGGTATCAAATGGATGTAAGTGCGCTTCTTGGGTGGGGTTGCTTTGGCGAGCATACCGGGCTTGGCGCGGGCTTGGCGGGCGCGCCAGAGGTGCTGCGTCAGGTCCAAGCTCGTCCCTGGTGCTTTTAACAGCGCCGTCTCAGCATAGCTCTTGCCGGTCGTCGGAAGCAGCGAGTTCGGCGTAAGTTCGGACGCGACGGCGTCCGCGATGTACGGCACGTCTTGATACACGACCACAGCAGGCAGCTCGCAAGACGCGGCGCTGCATTTAAGCTTTTCTTCCCTTGTCTGCGGTTCGCAGCAGCGCCGTACGAGGATCTCGTCAATCGCACCGTCGGCTGTCAATGGCACCAAGGTGACGCAAGCGGGACGCGTCCCGAAGGGCGGTGCGTCCAGCAATACTTGGCTGCACGCGTACCTCGTAAATGCTTGGTACAGTGCGTACTGTGGCGGCGGAATCGTCTGCGCAGCACGGAGCAGCACCAGTTGCACGCCGGTGGCCGCCAGCAGTGGTGCGTCGTCCGGTACCGGCGGTGCGACGAGAAGGCCGAGCGAGCATCTGTTGCCTGTGAGAATGCTCTCGATGCGGTAGAGCGCGACGCAGGCGTCCGGCGCTGTCTCCGTCATCCGGGCCGTCGGTCGGTCGTGGCGCCAACTAACGTCCTTTCGCCGTTTCAACTGCCGAACATTGAACCGCCGTTTAGTTTATGGACATTTTTCCGATCGGTATCCGGACGATCTCCATGGCATTTATTGCAAAGGCGTGCGATGCACTGGACTGGACTATGCTGAATAAAATGCATCAATTAAACTATGCTTTTGTGAGTGGAGGACGGAAAAGATTGGCTGAATATACGCAACCTATCAGAACTCATAGACATGGGTCCTTTCTTGTTGACCTTTGTCAGAGATCGGTGTGAAAGACTTGCTCGCAAGCCAACGGGCGCTTTTGGTTGGAATGCACCAAGGCTATTCGATTGTGGCATATTGATCAAGACATGCTTCGATCGTTCGAATGAACACGCTTGGTAGAGTGGAGAGGTATCGGTCCTTGCGATACATCCCGCACTCGACTGCATTGCCACAGTGTGCGCACTCTATATCCCACGTCGCTTGTTCATGCAGCGCATCTTGCTTGCGCATAGATCAACAGGTTTGGAGCAGTCTGCAGAGCTTCTATCCGCTCGGTGGCAGCGTTGCCTTCTCGCTTCAAGTTGGGTGCAACTAGTCTTCAATGTCGGTGGTGACGCGTATCCGGACATGGAAAGATGCTTCGACGGGTTCGCGTGCGACACGGGTTGGTCACGCAGTCTCCAGTGAGTGCCAACTTGCCTTTTCGCTGGACGGACGCTGGTTGGAACCCGTCCCGGCCAAGGTGGGAAAGTCCCCTGTGGCATGCCAACCGCGGACGCCAAGCACCGGCGCGTCCGTCGCACTGCATCGACGACCGGCAGTCGCACAACACACGCATCGATGGGCTCGGCGGCAGTGTGAGATAAACAGGCGGAGAGAGCACACACGCTGTCCTCCTACTGGGCTGTGTTCTAGCATCTCCGAAACCGACTGAGGCGGCGAGATGGGCGGAGATGGACGTCATTGCCACGGTGGATTCATGAACTGCACGCGCGCCTTTATCCCATTACAACGCCATTTCGAACCAGTCGGCAAGATAGGTCCCGAGGGTCGGGAACCCGTTCGTGGACGCAAACGTCATGGGTGTAAAGCCGTCGCTGTCGGGCCGCATGTGGCGCCGGCCAAGACCTCCGTGGGACAACAGCCACACGCAGGCGTCCTGATGGCCCCGCAGGGCTGCCTTGTGCAAGGCCGAGTGGCCGTTGTAGTTGATGACACCGAGGTCGACGCCGACGTCTTGGAGAAGCGACAACATCTCGACACTGCCCGTCAACGCGCTCCACTGCGACGCATTGCAGCCGTATGCATTCAGAGCATGTACATTGCACTTGCCATTGGTCCTAACACAGTGTTTCGTCCCATCCAGTATTTCCGAGATATGCAGCGGCGTACACGAGCCAGCGGCACATGTGCACTTGGCTGTTCCAAACGGCAAAGTGGAACGCGGTCGTGCCGTCTTCGGTCGGGGCGTCCACGGAAACCTGCTGCGTCTCCAGCAGCCAGGCGGTGATGGCCACATGCCCGTTGCGCGCGGCCCAGTGCAGTGCGTTGCGCTTCATCCCGGGTTTGCCTTGCAGCGCCGACGCACTGAGATGGCACGTCTCGACGAGGTACTTGCACACGTCAAGATGGTTGCCCCCCGCGGCCCACGCAAGCGTGTTCGACCCATGACGATCGACAACCTTTTGCGGGTCCCACCCGGTCGCCACCAGCGATTGCAGCAGATCGAGGTCTCCGAGTTTTGCTGCCTCAAGACCCGGGTCCGTCGCGACTGGAGAGGCTTTCGCACGTCGACCGTGCGCGACGCCGTCGTTGGTCGGCACATACACCACGAGCTGCGTGTCGCTCGAGAGTGCCTCGGACTGCGCGCGATCGTACGCAATGCCGTGTTGCGTGACTTGGTGGATGCGCAGGCCGCGCTGGCCGTTGAAGAAGTACCCGCACGCAGAGCAGACGAGACGTCCGTGCGTCGAGTGCCACGCAAAGTGCCGCTGTGTCGTGAACGTCAGCACGCCTTTGGCATCGCACACGAGGTTGCTAAGAAGCCCGGCGAGCGACGTGTCGAGGAGCAAGACCTGTCGGAGCGCGTCGGCGACGGCCTTGGAAGTGGCGTACGCAAAGTGGCGCGTGAGCCCATAGTCCGACACGGTCGTGACATACAACGCTGCTTTCGGAAGCTTCTGGACACACTGGGCGCGGATGTGACGCTTGAAGACGTCGATGGCAAATGGGAGCTCCAGATCGCCGAACGAGGTGCGTCGCCGGCCTTGGGATAATCGCGTCCGAAGTGGTCAAGAGTGTGAAAGGGAGCATACCTGGCCGGAGACGGTTGCGACTTGTGGTGTAGGCGTCAACGTAGGACCAGCCGAGCGTTTGGGCGATCGCTGCTTTCACCGCGTCCTCGATGCGGGCCACATCCTCTGCTGGAAGGTCGTCATCGTGTGCCATCCCAGCGGACTTTCTACCGTTGGCCAATCACCGTCGTTCATTTCGTGTCGGCCAATGGCTGGCCAGACATGGACGTACGTGATGCCGATTGGCTGTTTTCTTTCCAAAACGATAGCACTCTATTTCACAGTTTACATGAATTAGTATGATGAGGGGAAGGCTATGGCGTCATCCAGCGCATGATGTACCGATTACGAAGAGCCACCAAACTCTCCTGCCATTGCACACGGATGGTGGATATACTATGAAGCCTCTTATTGCGATAATACAGCGATAAGAAACCAGATAAAATGTACTTTCTACACTATTTAACGTTGCCTTGGCGGGAAGGCCGGAATCTGTCCCTTCTCGGGTACGCGTCTTCAAATCGATACATTTCAGAAGACTCATGCACGCCGGTGTTGCCTGCGTCGGTGCGTAAGGACGTGGTATCTACACCCAAGAGCTCGGATGCTTATGCGTAGGAGTGCTGGCGCACGCGTTTATAGCGGCGTGGGTAGCCTACACGGTCCTTGCCCCCGGCCTCGGTTGGTCGCTCGTCAGCTTCTCCGTGCACAACACATTTGACAGCGAGCCGCCTCTTTCCGTCTCAATTGCATTCTCGCCCAAAGAGTACTGCCTCATGACACACCCGCACGGCGAAGCGACCGAAGTCTGTCTTGCGTACGGTGCCGACGCGCTGCACACGTCGCTGGACCCGCGCTTGCTCGAGTTTGTCGCTTCAACGTGGTGCGGATGCTCTGTGAGCCGACGGTTTGACATTGGGGCAACGATGCAACACGCAGTTTGCTCTCTTGTGATGGGCGCCTGCCACTACACTATGGCGTATATCTTTGCGCCAACCGCACTTCTCGCCGCCCTGCTATATGTCGCGGCCCTTGTTTACTTCAAGGAAGAAAGCGTCGTTGGCAAGGCACTCGGCTTGCTAAATGTTGTGATGATTCTCGGACTCGTCATGGTCCTCGGTACGTGGTTGGCCTTTGACCGGCAGTCGTACCTCGGCACGAAGCGAAACCTCGGTGAGAAGACGCCGGCGTGGCGGTACGGAGGAGCGGTCTACGGCCTCGGTATCAGCGTTGTCTGTCTCTGCTTCTGCGTGTGGCTGAGCGGTGTCGTCGTCAAATCCCAAACGCTCAAGTACATCAACCGACAGCATCTTCGCGAGCTCAAGCGGCCGCCGTTAGCGTGCCCCGCCAACTATGCTTAGGACCTCCACAACCTCAAGTATTTAATCTTTTAGTCTTCGAGCTTGTGTGATGGAGTCGCAGGCTGCAGCCACGTTTGCTTGCCACGTGTACACGCTGTGCCAGTTGCCCTTTCGAAACAGAATTTGCGACAGATGTGCGTATTTCCTGTATTTCACCCAGGTGGTGTCATGGGACGCGAACAGATGCGACCAAGCTTGCACTCGACATGAGAGTGTATCTTGGCGCAAGATCTTGCTGCGAGTTTTAGTCTATTCTACAAGAGTGCAACTTGCGCTACAGCTCTTGCCTACACAGCGAATGACTACCCACTGCGGATTTCGTGTGCATACACTGTACTGAAGCAGGTTCTCTGTACACAGCACCATCGTTGAGAGCACCAATGCTGGATCGCGATGAATCGGTATATCGCGCACTGTTGTGCGCGCCGCTCTCTCTACCAGTGCCGAGAATTAGCGTTGTCGTCTCTCCCAGAAGCCAGCGTCCGACGTCAAAACGCTGCATCCAGGATTCAACTTCTGTTTTCCTATCAGATTATAGAGACCCCACAACCTGTCAAATTAGATATTGCTTGGCGGTTGTTGGTGGCTGGCCATTTTGCAGTCGTGCCCGACCAAGATTGACGCAGCATGAGCCCGCCCGTGCGCATCGACTTTCTCTCGCACTGCAGCGACGGTGACTTCTTCAGCACACGCGCGCCCAAGGCCAAGTTCCGCACGGCCCTCCGCGAGTTCCGGGATCTGCTCTCGGACGAGTCGAGCACGGGCTTTGACCTCTTCCGCAGCAAGATGGAGACCGTCGTGCACCTTGTCGTCAACGACGCGGTGGGCGGCACGGTCGCCTCCTTTGACGTGGCGCTCAACGTGCTCGACAGCCTAAGCCGTCACTTCCAGGCGGCGAGAGACGAGACGGCCAAGTCGTACCTGCGCACGATCCGCTGGGGCATCTCGGGCTTCCAGGTCTTCAAGAGCATGGACGCCGCGTCGCGCGATGGCGGCAATCTGTACCCGAACCGCGTGCCCATTGTCGACTGTGTCACGCGCCATTGGTCCGTCATCGCGTATGTGCAAATGGAGATGATTGTCTGCTGCCTCGAGTGGCTCCACGGCGCGCTCGTGGCCTGGAACACGGCGCAAGAGGAAGCCCGCGCTAGCCGCGCGTCGTCCTCGGAGCAGTCGAGCGTCGCCGACCCGACCGAGCGCCCCTCGACGCCCAACGTAGCCGCACCCTCGATGCCGCCACCGCCGCAGTACACGATCGACCCCTCGACGCACAACTATGCCGCCGCCGCACCGCCCGCTGTCAGCAGCGGCCTGCCACGCGCGCCCCCGCCGTCTACATCGACGTTGGAGCAGATGCTGTCGTCGCTCTCGACGGGCCCATCGTCGCTGTCAAGTGGCCAGACGCCTCTCTCCAGCGGTCCGACATCGTCGCTTGGGCTCACGTCGCCGTCGACGTCGCGAATCGTGTCGTCGATCGAGTCTCCGTACGAAGAAGCGTCACGCCTCTCGGCCGCCCGTGACGGACAAGCGTCGTACCCGGCGACGTTCAATGCGCAATCGCCCTTTCGTATGTCGTCGCCGTTCCACGCTGGACCGTCGCAGTCGTTCTCGGACAGTACGCCGTCGTCGTTTCTCAGCGGACCTTCGTCGTCGTCGTCGTCGTTTATGAATGGACCGTCGCCGTCGTCCTCGGACGCCTCGTTGCAGTCGTTTGGAAATGGCCTCTCGCAATCGTTCAACAACGGACCGCAGCAGTCGTTCGTCAATGGATCGTCGCAGCAGTCGTTCA